TTGTGCTCCAAAACATCGAAAGGATTTCTTTTCAGCTTGTTTTTCGCGGACATGGGAGTTTTTCTCCTCTTGTTCCCTATCTCTGTGGTTCTTTCTCTCGGACAATTTCAGTCCTGCCCAGATGGTATGTTTTTAAGCTGGCATTTTTTGAAAAGAAACCTTTATTATTCTGCTCTTAATTGTTCAGCTAAGCAATATATCAAAGGAAAAAAAAAGGAAACGCATATTTTCGAGGACTAAAATTCTCGTATATAGAGGCCTAACTAACAAAATGGGTAGTGAAACTCATCGTCCATTTTAATGTGCTGTTATCTTTTGTTCATTCAAAACTATTCTAGATTTTTTTTTCACAATTTGTGAAATGTGCTTGCAAAGGTTTTTAGTTATAACCGAACAACATCCGCAATTACTGAATTATTTTCAGACCCTCATCAAGGTCCACTAAAATTTTATCAAGGTCATCTAAAATTAATGAATATATTTTCACAATCCTTTATTTTAATGCTGGCACGAACTGAAGGAAGAGCCTAAAGTTAGCCCGGCACTCAAGGAAATAAGAATTGATAAATCAACTAGCCAGTTGGAGAGGATATATTTTTTTTCAGTCAAAGAATTGCCTTCCTTCTTTTTACATTCTCCTGTAGAATAAGAACCTCTCTTTGGGTAGTTAATTATTCGCTGGTTTCATATTTAGTTCACATGATTTGTTTTTTAGTGCAGAAAATTCTCGTAATTAAAATTTATACACCTCGAAAACATATTGCCGACAGGTGTTAAACATATACCAAAACGAGTGTCTTGTAACTTTTAGAACTCGGCATTCGAGGCATATTATCTCCGTCATAGCAGCCTTCCTGTGTTATGCACATACAGAATTACGCAGTTTTTGGAAGCGTAATGAGTAAGTTTTTTCAAAGCTAATAAAAACAGCGAGAAAGTTGTTGAAATGCAGGCAGAGTAATTATGTTTCCAATAATGCAAAAGAAATGCTGACTGCGAATGAGCGAGAACATCAAAACTTCTCACTCGACAGGTGGCTAAGAGATAGATGATATGGATGTCTAACCATGAACATACTTAAATTAGTTTTATTTAGCAACTTTTTATTAGCGCATTTTCATAATTCAATCAAAATTTATGCACAATGAAGCGATGGGGAGATTTTAATCTTCAGTAGCGGTTTCCGAGGGTTTTTATCAAATCATCATGGACAAGTTTTATCTAAACCAAGTTTATTCGATATGGATAATGAGAACAACAAAGCATAACAAAAGCAAAATAAAGATCACAATGCAAAATTAAGAATTTGTTCGTGCTTGGTGCATGCATTTCATAAAATGGATGTACCGCAGCAGGAAGTTTTCAGAGCACGTGGGTAGCATAAGAGTTAAATGAAGTGAGGCCAAGAGATATTCCAAGACCAAAACTTTTCACAAGGAAGTGCTAAATTTTCTGCTTGGAAGCGAAAACCGAACGAATTTCCCGCAGTTACAACACCTGCGAAATGCACTTAGCATGCTTTAATAAGTTTTTGCTAGAATTTACGACGAGAATTTGTTTGTGTTGAAAATTGTAAGCTTTTAAGACAAGTAATCGATTCAACAACACTCAAATATTTCGTACTATTTTAAAGAAGGGTAAGAAAGCTCAGATTTCTTGCTACGGCCATAAATCGTCCTGCGTTTAGGGATAACATAACGTCAACTCCAAAGCTATTTTCGTCTATTCACAGAGCTTAAAAATCATTGTTTTTT